ATGCACATGACACACTTTGAGAATTTATTGTAAAAATACCGAGGACAGTGAAAGTGTTCACTCTCGCATGTCAAAAGACTGCCTTAGATGACTCCTTGGGAATCTTTGGAAAGAAATTTTCTTGTGGCCTCTATAGCTGCGGCAACTGAACAGCTCTGCCGGAGTGGCACAAATGGCACAATTATAGTAACTGCACAGGATGTTGGAGCATAGATGAGACAGTACAGCCATGGTATAACTTACCCTACCATTTTGTTTCCTGAGCTCAATTTCCTCACCTCGATTAGTTTAATGTTTATGTGTGTGCATATACACTTCTTAATTGCTATCCTTTTGGGAGAAAATGAATTTACATTAGCAAAAGAATTTTCTCCAATTCATATGCAACAGGTCAATCTGACTTCCTATAGGTTCTATTTGAGAGTGCTTTTATCTATTTAACCCTAATTGTCCTCAGCTAAGTCACAACCATAATATATTCCTAAGTGAGGACAATATGTCCCTCAGTGTGTGAATTGAATTGATTTAGAGCATCTGGTTCTTCAATGTTCAGTTACTGTGGTTGATACACTGTCTGTGGAAAATAGGAAACTGTTGAAAAAAGTTATTACAAGTAACAATGATGCATTTTTCAGTGTGGAACCAGCAAAAGTATATTTATTTATTTTGGGCTATCATAGTGCCACTGCATAGTAGACATCAAAACAGGACCTCTCACATGCAAAGTATGTGGGTCAGCCCTCTGTGCTATATCCTTGGACAAAATTCACTGTCACTGTCCTCCCGCTGTTCACCAATTTGCTTGAGTGAACCCAGTAACATTGTTGTTACTGTGCTTGGCATATTGAATACGTCATGGGTAGCTTGCCAGGCTTTGCCGTTCGGGCATGATACTCTCGGTAGCTTGCCGGGCTCTCGGAGAGGGGCAGAGGAATCGAACCTGGCTGGGCTGGGCCGGCTGCGCGTAAGGCGAATGCCCTACCGCTGTGCTATCGCTCCAGCCCTGGAAAAAATTATCATTTAATAAAAATAGAAGGTAGGGGTGGTTCCACAGGCTGGAAACATCACATTTCCTGAAGAAGTGAAATCCCACTCAATACTTTCCTCACCTTTGTATGGAAAGTGCAAGGAAAATACCCCTTTGGAGTACCTTTGGCTTTCAGTCCCAGACTGAATCTTTATTTTTGTGTGGCCACATCTGGCAGTTCTCAGAGCTTACTTCTAGCTGTGTTCAGAGATCGTTCTTGGCAGTGCTGGGGGTACCGTATTGGATGCTGGAGGTTGAACCCAGGACAAGCATATGCAAGCATATGAAGCACCCTACCCACGGTATTATCTCTGGGCTTGACAGAATCATTTATGAAACCGTGTGCTTCATAAAGTAAGATGTAGGGAAAACTGTGAGCAGATATCCAGATTAGGTGGTTTTGCCAAGAATAATTTTCTATTTACTTTGGTAGGTAAAGTACTTAAATAAAAACTATTAAAAAAACTGAAAACTATTTCAGGATCAGTAAGCTTGAATAATGCTTTCTAACAAAATCTGCCATAAACAGCTGGAACAACGAACAACTATGAAATATTTTGAAATAAAATTCACAGATCATGACAACAGAATATTGAAATCAGAAAGGATAAACCAAAGAATGGGAATAGTTTTGGAGCCTAGTTCGACACATTCCAATAAAGAAAAAATTAGTAGCAGAATGTATTTATTCTCTTCTCAAAGATTGTGTCCACTGATTTTACTTTATACCTTAGGATTCCTTAAAGCCACAGTTCTTGTAAATTGTGCATTACAAACCTGACACGCTAGGATCAACAAAGTAATCAAAGGTCATAGGAATGTTGCTTGCAAAAAAATCGGCAGACCTCCCGGACTTCCTAATGATACTAATTTACTTATAAATTAGCTGATTTAACTATGAGAACCTCATGGTCCATGAGAAGACAACTGGGTAAAACAGTGGGAATTTGAGTTTATTTAATTTGATCTCTCTCTCTCTCTCTCTCATTAGATGGTTGGGTAGGAGGCACAATCTACACAGTTGCAAAGGAAGTTGTTCTAGTTTTGGGATAAACTGCATTAATGAGCAATAATGATAGAATCAGTGAGGAAAAGGAACAAAGGTCACAGAGCTGTAAGCCGTGAGTTCTGTCTTAGAGATAAAGGATTAAACACCGTGGAAACTGCACCTGATGACAAGAAGAGGTCACCATCACTGTCACTGTTCTCCCGTTGTTCGATTTGCTCGAGCAGGCCCAGTAACGTCTCCATTGTGGGACTTTGTTGTTACTGTGTTTGGCATATTGAATACGTCACGGGGAGCTTGCCAGGCTTTGCCAAGAAGAGGTAGTAAACAGATTAGGTGTTTGATTAGGCAATTAACTCAGAAATGAATTAAGAGTAAAGAAGGCCCAGACCAGATCCCAGCTCAAAGGCTTATTTCAGAGTAGTGGTTATATAACTGTTATGAGACATACGTGATGGTGGGGGAAAATCTACTTGAATTTTCAGTTCCATTTAGTAATTGATCAGAAGCTTCCAATTCAAGTTTAGAGCATCTCAAAAGTACTCTGAATGTACACCATTTTCCTCAATTTATTCTCATGCTGTTTACAAACACAATCTCCATTGGTATCTAATTCCTAGGGTATGTTCTTACCATTTAAAAGTGCAAAAGAATTAGCAACCTTTTAACACCTAAGGGATTGCCCAATATTTTATAATGTGTTTTCCGCTTTCTTGAAGAAAACTGAAATCAATCAGCATGCTTATTACATATCTGATGAAGCTAAAATGTGGCCCATTATCTGGCATTATTGGTCCAAGTGTTGCTTGTCATGGTCATTATAATAATAAATATGCAATTCTGGAGCAACTATGAAAACAATAAAAGTATTTCTCTTTTTGTGTTATACCTAGCTGTGCTCAGGGGGTTATTTATGGCTCTATACTCAGGGGTCACTCCTGGCAGAGCTGGGGGAGGGGGGTGCATGCCTCGGAGTGCCAGGGATTGAACTGGACTGGCTGTGTTTGAGGCAGTGCTTAACATGCTGTACGGGTGTCCATTCCCAGTAAAAGTCATTTTTAACAAGACTGAATTTCAATATTAAGTCAAAGGTAATTCATTTAAAAGTAGTCACCTAGAAAACAATGAAACAAAATAATTTATTTCTAATAAAATTGCTGCTAAAGTCTGAATCATTTTGGTAACATCATTAAAAAAAACCCAGGGATCATTTATTAAATGCATTATTTTGAGCTATCTTCATTATTAGAATTCCTACTCAGATACTGACTTCTAACTCCACATTTAGTTTTAATGCAAAAGTCAGTCTGAATTCCAAACGCAATTTAGTTTAATGAAAAAGTTAGTTTAGAAATAAGAGCAATGATTCAATTATCACTATTTTCTAAGATAACCATATGATTTTCAGATAGAACAAAATGAAAGGTATGCGGCTACAATTAATCCCAAAATGTAAAGTTTAAAAATGAGGAAACCTCATCAAAGTCAAAGGGAGTCTTGTTTTCTCATGAATATTAAAACAAAAAGACTGAGTAACCAGAGATACTATTACTAAGAACTGACCAGAATGGGCTCATTTGGAAAGGAAATGTATTTTCATTTTACTTCTGTTTCCCCAGTTCAAACAGGAAAATCTGACTGATCAGGGCAAACCAGTGAGCCAGTCAGCATAGAGGTAAGAACAGGTGGAACTTTTGTGTGGCCAAAAAGTCTCGCTTACCTCATCCTTGCTAACTTGACCTATGACATGGTTTCAGGTTTGTTTGGGTCAATAAAATGCAGATAGAAATTAAATGTTATTTGGGAGCAGAAACCCATAAATTAACATGCAGTTCACCAGGTCTGGGCATTTAGCTCAGAGACAAATTCTCTGCAGAAATTCCTCCGGAATCTTAACCCTGGAGAAAAGACATGGAGAGCAGAGTGCAGCACAGACTCAGGGGAGCATGGTGAGCACCAATCTTTGCTGCAACGCACTCTTTGGAGACCATCGTTTACTACTTCATGATGTGCGGAAGGCCCCGCTAACCACTCTCCGGCCCGCGGAGGTGGCCCTGGGGATTGATCCGCTGGTGCAAGGAGGGACCAACCGAATGAACACGAGACACAAGAGACAGAGTACAGCTTAGAAACAGAGAGGAAAAGGGACAGACCTTATTGAGGGATACAGGCTGTTGATAAAGGGTCCAGGGCAGCCCAGTCAGAGCAGAAGCAATATAACCATACATGATAGGGTCAGCAACAAGAGCTTTACCTAACATTCAAGGTAAACATTTGTACATGGAAGGGTCTTATGGCAGTAGCTGAATCCTGGAGGTCACTATAGATAAGGCCAGATAAGACAGCTGTCAGTCTGATGTATGTGGCTGTAGATCAGGTATCCACTGAGATTAGGAAGTCCTGGGAGACTGTCTCCAATGTCTGTCCCAAGCAGTTCCTAACATGGGAACCATGGCCAGGGTCTGTGAGAGGGCTCTTGGCTTCCCACAATGATGTAACCTATCTTGATGAGCATAAAGCCCTTTAAATTATTTCTCTAGCCTGGGCAAACAGCTGAGTTTGTAAATCATGCTTTTCTTGTAACTTCTCTAGGTTTTCAAATGTGAAAAACTGACACTCAGTGAGGTTCAATTATTTTGATGAGACAACGAAGTCAGTCTCTGTATCCGGGTCTATTTGATTATAGAGTCTGAGTCTGTACAGGTTTTATAATTCCTCGGTGACACCACAGTAAGTAGAACTTTGGACCATAGGGCTGGGCCATACTTTCTCTCTGTTAAATACTGGTAACAAGTAAAATGGATATGACACTCCCTGGTTACTAAAATATCTAATTCAGGCAGATACCTTAACAAGTTGATGAAATATACTTTTTCACATATTTTTCTAGAAATCATAAAATATGTTACTCTGTGATACCACAGACTTGGCTTATTTTGTAAAAAAAACTTTCAGTATCACTTTAAAAGATTTTAAGTCATATTTATTGTTTTGCATACAATAACTCAGATATTTATCAATATTTAAAAAACACAAATGCAAATAATTTTGGCTTTTCCCCATAAGAACGGGGAAACATCTTGGTAAAGAAAATATTTAATTAGTTTTGCATACCAGTTGGTTGTTGATATTTTCTATTCTTTAAAATACAATGCCAGCAAAGTAATTAGTATTAACTGATTAGTTTAGAACACAATTTACAATATGATAAAAAAAAACTGATCAAAAAACACCGCCTTAAAGTAATTTTCAAACATATTTCTATTATAGTACAGTTTACTCCCAAGCTCATTAAGAGCTTTTAGACACACAGACATAACAAAAAGATACAGTATTTTCTACAACAACAAATTAAAGGTTATCATAATATATGTAACTTAAATACCCTCCCCCTTTGATAAAGTGGCTTCTTATTCCTTAAACATAGAAATTCTCTTCACTGTAGAAAGATGAAATCCTCTCATCAAAAGGCACATTCTTATCTGCAAGGAAAAAAAAATATCATAAATGCTAATCCTGGAACAAGCTACACATTTAAAAGTATTTCCAAAGAATTGGTGCGGCAGAAAGAAGATTAAAAAAGAAAAGCAATCAATCTAAATAAATTTTAATGAATGGCATCAATAAGACACAAATTACTCTGGCTATATTTAATTATATCATATACTATTTTTTGAATTACAACTTTTGCAAAGGAATTTATTTGCAGATAGTATGACTTTCATAAGCATACTAAAGTTATAACCTCATGAAATATTCATAAGTCACTTTGACTTCCATTTATAGTACCACTATTTCTATAATTTCTGAAAAAATAATCTATAACTGATTCTACTTATTCTATTTCTAAATCTTCAAGTACATGATTGTTAAAGCAGACTTGAGTGTGTATTGCTGGAAGAAGCACAAATATGCTTAGAATACAGCACAGCGGGTAGGGTGTTTGCCTTGCATGCAGCCAACATGGCTGACCCGAGTTCGATTCCTCCACCCTTCTCAGAGAGCCCGGCACTCTACCGAGAGTATCTTGCCCACACGGCAAAGCCTGGCAAGCTCCCCGTGACGTATTGGATATGCCAAACACAGCAACAACGAAGTCTCACAATGGAGACGTTACTGGGCCCGCTCGCGAAAATCGATGAACAAGGGGAGGACAGTGACAGTGATTTACAATATAATAAAGAGATTTACCCACACAAAGCATTAGCACAGCGGGTAGGGCGTCTGCCTTGCACGCAGCCAACATGGCCGACCCGAGTTCGATTCCTCCGCCCCTCTCGGAGAGCCCGGCAAGCTACCGAGAGTATTCGATACGCCAGACACAGTAACAACAAAGTCTCCAATGGAGACGTTACTGGGCCCGCTCGAGCAAATCGATGATCAACGGGAGGGCCTTTACTTACTTACTTTACTTACCCACACAAAAAACATGGTTTTTCATAAACATATACTATGGGGGTACTTTTCAAATTTATTGAACATTTATGGTACTAAGTTATATTTTCATCATAGACATTTTGATCTTTGTTTTAATAATATGCTAAGCTGTACTTTAACTTAATTCAAGGCTTCTTAATTGACAAACTTCTTAGAAAATTCTTTCTATTTTGTTTGTTTTGGGACCACAGTCAGTGGTAACCAGGGGTTTTACTGCCTTGGCCCAAGGGACCATATGGGGTACTAGGGACCAAACTGGGTTAGCCAGATTACCTGCTGTACCTGTATCTCTCCAGTCTCTAGGATAATTTTAAAGAAAATAATTTAGTGAACACAATACAGTTGCTAGAAGAAAACAGATTTCACTAACTGATTCTTCCTTTTTAATCACCATTAGCATCCGGATTTTCATCTGGCGTGGATACATGTCACTTTACCCAAATTTTCAATAAGCAATCAGGCTAGGTCTCTACTTACTAAATTTTTATAAACTAGTGATATCTAATATATTTTGAATAGAGGATAAATCTGAAAAATTTTTAAAAATTTTCAGAAGCGATAATGAAGGCTAACAAAATGTAACATAATACTTGGAACATATTTCAAATAATCCTTATTCTTTGCATGCTTAAAGCTCTTGACCATTTTTAAATAATATAATTTGTAATTATATCATTTATATTATAATATAGTACACCATGTATAGTTATATATAATAAAGGTAAAAAAGGTAAAGGCCCTCCCGTTGATCGTCGATTTGCTCGAGCGGGCCCAGTAACGTCTCCATTGGAGACTTTGTTGTTACTGTGTCTGGCATATCGAATACTCTCGGTAGCTTGCCGGGCTCTCCGAGAGGGGTGGAGGAATCGAACTCGGGTAGGCCATGTTGGCCGCTTGTAAGGCGAACGCCCTACCGCTGTGCTATCGCTCCAGCCGGTTATATACAATACTTAACACAATCAGTAAAATCAAAATTGTAACTACATGTAGTAGAGTAACACTATAAACTTACAGATACCGTCTCTATCACTGAGCAATCTATGTAATCTGAATCACCTAATCAGAACCTCGGGAGCAACTAGCAATGGTGAATATTGTTAAGATGTGATATGATTAAGAAGTACCTGGAGCATAACATATTCAGTATAAAGTTTCGTAAATGCATGCTGAAATTCATAAAAAGTTGAAAATGTATCTAAATGTAGAAAATCATTATGATTTATTACATTTGCATAAGGAACATTTTCTTTCACCTGTTCTTAATTTCCAACCATATGCCCTTTTCTCCCACTGAGACCACTGCAATTCTTGAGCTGGGACCTCCACAGCTCCGTTTCATATGTTTTCAGCCCATCATCCAACTAATATGTGCTATGGAGTCAACTGATTTCTACTTGGCATGCCTAAGCTAAGACCCGACAATACCTCAGGTGGGGATATTTATCTACATGCCCCAGCTAGGAATATTTTTAACCAAGCAAGAATTAAACTCAGACATCATCCTCTCGTCCTATACTCGGATCTTTTCCCTGTATCCTCGATCAACGTTCTACCATCTACCTTTGCAAATTGCTATTTAGTCTTTTCACAATATCTTTAATCAAACATGCCACCATCTACCATCCTAACTCTTCCGTGGGACCATCTATTGTTCCCCTCTGACTTCTCATGCTGTGGGTTTGTTTACAATCATCATTATCTTGTCATTGTTTCACTTCCTCTTTCCTTAACCTGGCCCTTGTCTCTTTTGACATGCCACACCCAAAATACAGAAGGCGTTATAAATTCCTCAACCTCAGTTTCTTCACATCTCAAATTCATCTTTCATGTGTTCAAAAATAGCTTTCCAAAGTGCTGTAGAATATATTTGTGAAATAATGTGCAAATATTTCATCATTTTTACAAATGGTAAAATCCAGATGCATAATGGTCTTCGTTAACACACTCTACTCAGTGGCTCTCACACACATCCCGGAGTCCAACAGGAACCCACAACAAACATGGATATTAAGGCCAGCCCTCTGCTCCACATACAATAAGGCTCCTATCCATTGTACATTTAAAGATAACTACAGAACTTACTCCTACATAAAGCTCCTCCTTCACAGGGGAGTTTTGTTTGTCTTCTACTTTTCAATAAACTCATCTCTATCTTTTCAACAATAAAAACTGATAAATAGAAGAAGACTTTTAACTGTTAAAATCTTGCACTGACAATGGTTAAGCTAGAAATAACTAATAAAATTCAGAAGTCCATGAGAAGTCAGGCTCAAAGACCATGGGAAAGTAAAACATGTGAAAGACTTCACCAATGACTTCCCAGGACAGTTGTATACATCATAAAAAACAAAAACAAAAACAAAGAATGAGTGACATTATTGGAGATTCTCTCTGCGGGGATCAGATCACGAGTATCACAACCCAGTGGAGAGACTGGCTAGAGTTCCAAAGCATAACGACAAAAGGCATGATTGGAGTAGTCACTTGTTACTAAACACCTACTTTAGTACATTGTCCCTAACAGTGCCAGGCACCTAAGTACTGTATGATTAAATGAAGAATGTATAATGAATGTGTGATGAAGAATATATGATGAAATAGTACATTCAAGATAGTAAGATCGTTCTTTCAAAATGGTTCCTATTCTCTTTTTACAGGTAGGAAAACGGAGTCTCACAGAGTTTAAAAAATCAGAGTTCTCTTTATATAATCTCATTGTATATTGTAAATATTGATGTCATCTATAACTTCAAAAAGAAAATTCTAAATTCAGTGCATTGTCTTCTATATTCAACATTAAAAGCAATATTTTAGAAACAAAACCCATTTCCAAATTGTGACTTTTTTCTTCATGAGGTTTTCAGGTTAAACACATGTCAAATCTGCTGTCTGATTCTGATGTGCTGATGTTAATAACCAGAAAATATTCTGTGGCCATAGAGTACTGAGCAGAAATGGGATACAAATAGTCACAAAGGAAATTTAGGATTATAAAAAGTACATATTTGGCAAAAATACAGTAACTGAAATGCTAGAAGTGCTAGCTCTTAGAAGCTGTTATCAAGATTGTGAAATGTCTTTTTTTTAACATTGTCTATAATGAAGATAACAATGGTGATAATGGCTTGACTACTCAGCAGACATCAAACAGAACAGTAAGAAGATATTGTTCTCATTTGTTTTGTGCTGCAAACCTCTGCTTTGTTTTTAAAAACTGATTATGACTATTTGTATTGAGAAAAATGAATATATTTCTTTGAGAAAAATAAAAGTAATTTTCAGTCAGTAGATTCTCTGCTTTCTCATTAATGCTCCAATCTGAGAAGCTAATGCATCTTATATGCAAGTAAAGAGCTGATAATTGCTTTTTTCAGTCTAGTAGTTCATTTGTCCAAAGTGTTTTGGCAACTAAACTACAGTATACAAAATTAGAGCATCAACAACAAATTCAAAATAAGTTATTTGAAGTTTATTGTTTTTTCCACGTATCTATCCATTTCCTCAACTGACTGTATTGTCATCAATAACTGGATGGACTGATATTACCAGTCAAAGTAGAGATGGTCGTCTTCAATAGCCATTCAACCCCAAATTAGGCAGAATTAGGTTAAACCATAACGAATAGTTTAAACAAATAATGTAAACAATTTAAATTAGATTACCTCTGAGGTATTCAGTTTCTTTCCCAAATATTAATTTAGGAATGATCATATGGCCTGGAATATAGAAATGAAAACCAAAACTAATTCTCAAGAGTTCTAAGAAAAATTTTTCTCAAGAACCACAAGAGCGCTCTTCTCCAGTTTTCACAGAAAGCTTAGGCGGAGTGTGATCACCACAGAGATTTGTGACAGTCTATAAACAAAGCCCGCAATTGGAGGCTAGAGAACCAGGAGCACTGTGCATTAGAGAGGAGCAAGAGTTTCTGGGGCAACTCAGCTCCATTTGTTAAACAAAGTAAAACAATATTCTAGATAGATAGCAAGCTTTGATGAAATCACATACTAGCAATTTCATATGAGTTCAACCCAATAAAAAGAAGAAA